CCTTTTGGAAAAAATCAAAAGTAAATCCATGAGAGTTTATGGTCAAAGTAGACAATATCTTATGGAAGTTCGTGATTTCTAACATGGTATCAGAGTCATGCCTTTAACTTAATCATGCCAACAAAATCTTTAAGTGTGGAACAAATAAATTATTAGTCTCGAAAGTGTAGTCAAAAGTGACTTAAATGTCGAATAAAAAGAATAAAAGAAAAAAATGAGTTGAGTCTTAATCAAGGGGAGACTCGAATATGGTATGAGAGTCATACCCTTAATTTAGTTATGTCTTTAGAATTACGTGTGGAACAAAGAAATTACTAGCCTCCAAAGAGTAGTCAAAAGTGACTCAAGTGTCTAATAAATTGTGTACTTTGTTCGAAAGCTCTCGAGAAAAGAGTTGAATTTCAATTAATGGGAGACGGTTCGAGGGCTATATAGGCCTCATGGGAGGCTTTATGGTGTACTTTAGGACCACATAGGTCTCAGAGTAGGCTCTATGATGTATTTTGTTTACGGGGAGGATCGAATCCCACTTTAGCTAATTAAGAGGTTGATCATGAATTACAAGTAAAGTAAACCATATCATCAGGGAGATTGTACAAAAATTCCGAGCATCTTCAAAAGGAAGGGAAGACATCCACACGAGGCTAATGAGGAGCTACAGGGACATTCCAGCGTGGTGGTTTCATATACTTCTATTTGTAGCAATCGCCGCCTCCCTTGCGCTCTGCATTTTCTTGAAGAAGGAGGTTCAGTTGCCTTGGTGGGGTCTTCTCTTTGCCGCCGCCCTGGCTTTCATTTTCACTCTCCCTATAAGCATTATCACAGCCACCACTAATCAGGTAATTAACCCTAATTTTCAGCATTAACACATCATTATAATATACTAATTGTGTTTATGGAACAGACTCCAGGCCTGAATATAATAACAGAGTATCTGATGGGAATCATATTGCCTGGAAGGCCAATAGCCAACGTGTGCTTCAAGACTTATGGATATATAAGCATGGCTCAGGCCGTTAGCTTTCTAAGTGATTTTAAATTAGGACATTACATGAAAATCCCTCCAAGATCTATGTTCCTCGTTCAGGTACTTTTTCTCCCCATTATTATTATTGTTATTATTTATTTATATTTTTTCGATAGCTATATTTTAGTGTTAATTTCTGTTAGATTCTAGAATTATCCGTTTTCTCACTATCCACTGTCAAGTTTTGACAAAAGAATGACCGTTTTAAAGTGATTATAAACTCATGATCATTCCCTAAATTAGCCGATGTGGGACTTTTAAAGTGATTGTATTATTAATTATAAACCCATGATCATTCCCTAAATTAGTCGATGTGAGACTTTCATCCAACACCTCCCTCGAATAAAGTACGCCCCCTTAATCGAGGCTCGACTCTTTTTCTTTTGGAGTATTAGTCATTTTTTACTATGCCTTTGAGGAGTCTCGACTCCTTTTCTTTTTGGAATCCTTTGTTCGACATTTGAGAATTCTATTGACATGACTAAGTTTAGGGCATGACTCTGATAACATGTTAGATGAACACGACTCTTCACAATAGTATGATAACTCTAATAGCTTTGCTTTTGCACCTAAATAAGAAAAAATAAATTATTCTAACATCCACGTGTACGCAGCTGATTGGCACAATAATAGCGGGGACAGTGAACATCAGCGTTGCATGGTGGCTTTTATCCACCGTGGACAACATATGCCATCAGAGCGCTTCCTCGAACAGCCCCTGGACTTGCCCGAGTGACCGCGTGTTTTTCGACGCGTCGGTCATATGGGGCTTGGTCGGCCCAAAGCGAATATTCGGATCCCAAGGGAACTACCCAACTCTCAACTGGTTTTTCCTCGGCGGCTTCCTCGGCCCCCTCCTCGTCTATGTCCTCCACCGATTTTTTCCCAACCAAACCTGGATTCCTCTTATCAACCTCCCCGTCCTCTTCGGCGCCACCGCTTACATGCCCCCAGCCACGCCGGTTAATTACAACTCCTGGCTATTAGTCGGCACGATCTTTAATTACTTCGTGTTCCGGTACCGGAAGAGATGGTGGCAACGGTATAACTATATTCTGTCGGCGGCGTTGGACGCCGGCGTGGCGTTCATGGCGGTACTTATTCACTTTACATTAGGCGTTCGAAATGTGCATATGAATTGGTGGGGTTCCAATCCTGTTGATACGGATCACTGTTTGCTTGCCAGTTGCCCCACCGCTAAAGGCGTGGTGGTTGACGGTTGCCCCGTATTTTAACTGTAGTGATTTCGACATGTCGTTCCAATGTGAAAAATGTAATTTTCGCTTCCCATTCCCCTCTTGTCTACGTGTAGTTTGAAACGCAAGCTTGTATTTCAATTGTGAATCCTAGTATAAATTAAAGTTGAGTTCATGGAGTCTGTGTACTTACTTCATGTATTTTTTTTTTTAATTAATAAATCTTTAAAATTTTAATTTGGTGTATAATATGTTAATTATATATTTAAATTTTTAAAAAATGAATTAATCTCTTCCATATAAATTTAAAATTTATGTTTAATGAAAGTTTAAAATTTTATAAATAGTTGGTCAATTTTTAAAAAAAGTGAGATTAAATTTATAATTTCGAAAGTACCTACTTGTGAAATCCCACCTCAGTTGGAGAGGAGAATAGAATACCCTTTTACAAGGGTGTGGAACCCTTTCTAAGACGTGTTTTAAAAACCTCGAGGGAAAGCTCAAAGAGGACAAGGCAACGATGTGCTTAAGTTGTTACAAATGGTATCTGAGTCAGATGTTGGGTCTCGAAGGTGTGAGACCCATATTGATCGGAGAAAAGAACGAGTGCCAGCAAAGACGTTAAGCCTCAAAAGGGTGGATTGTGAGATCTTGGTTGGGGAGGAAAAACCCAAATAAGACAATATCTATTAACGTTATGCTTGGTTTTCTCAAATCTGAAAGTTTTGAAACTTATTTAAACAACTAAATTATTGTGTTTTTGTTGGTTGATGGTATGGTTTGATTAATAAATTATGTTATGTAAATATAATAACAAAAATGAAATTACCCTTTAATTCATTCCTTAAAAAAATTGCATGTAATAATAACCATATGATATAAACTTGAAATAATTTAAGAGCTTCTATTTATTTGACAAGTATACCCCCAGCCCCTCTAATTCATTCTATACATTATATATATATATATATGTATATATATATAAAATCTTCTATTATTTCTTTTTAAGTGGGGGTTTGGAAGCAACAGCATATCTTGCAGAAAAGGATCGAGAGGATCCTTCATCATCGGCATTCGTCAACCCGTCGTCGAAGTTTTGAGCGTAGCTTACTGCGTCGTAGCTGAATTTCCCATGCTCATTTTTCGACGTCGTCCCCTCTTTTTTCCCCGGCGAAATCTTCGACTTCAAACACTTCCAAATCGACGTCGTTTCTTTGCTCTTCTTTTTCTCTGGTCCCTCTATTCCCATTGCTGAAAAAATTCAAAACCTTAGTGGAGTGAAAATATAAAGGTATTGAATGTTAAATTGGAACAAAAACGAGTATTTTTTATATATATATATTGTTATTTATTTTACCGTGAACGACAGGGGTAGTCTTGTCCATTTGAATTTGATGTTCGTTCGTCCAATGGAATCTCGTCTGCAATGGATGGATTGGATTGAATTGAGAATTCGAAATTTATAATTAAGTTTTTAGAAAAGGGATGGGAGAAAAAGAATTTAAAGAAACAATTAAAGAGCATTTAATTTAATGCTTTTATTTTCATGACTATGTTTATATTTAGGTGTGCAATTTTGTTTTAAAATGTGTATGCACTTTGTATTTATTTTACACTCAGAAGGTGCTAACATGTGTGAAATGTTAATTTGAAATTTTTTTGGGAGAGTGTGCTTATGCAATTATTTATACACATGCAAAATTTTAAAAATAATAAGATCTTTCCTCTCCTCCTCGTGGTCAGTAAAAATTTAAAAATTATGACAGTCCAAACACACAACTAGTTGATATGGTATATTTTATTTTATTTTATTTTTTTAAATCTCACTCTTCTAAATATGCGAGAGAGATATGGTAATTTAACAATAAAAAAAAAAAAAAAAATCACATGATGGACCGAAAACCGATGCTTCCAAAGTAAATAAGAGCTTAAAATATCATTAAAATTAAATATAATACTGTAAACAATGAGTTTCGATCGTGGGAATGGAGGGAGTAAAATTTAATGACTTCGATGACAGTTTCATTTTCTCGTATCAGAAATTACCGCTTTTTTAATCTTGAATTTACCGCTTTTTATTGTTTTCAATTCGTTTTACCGCATCTTTAGGCATTATTAACCTAGATTTGGGTAAAGCCTAAAATATCTCCATCCTAGAAAATATCTGGTGAGTCCTAAAATATCTCCATCCTCTCATATGCAGAAAATAATATTTAAATTGGGTTAATTATTTAACCTTTTCCAACGCCCGACACGTAGCAAGAAAGAGGATTCCCAACTCACGTTCGTCCTTTTATCTTTTCTTTTTAAGTAAATTAATTTAAAATTACCTTTTTTGTTTATAATTTGTTTGTTTCTTGTTCGAGTTGTCGGTAGATATTTAATTATTCATTATCTTTTGGGATTAAAAAATAAAAAATAAAATCTGAATTAACCGTTTTAATTTTTTTAATTATGAAAATTTAGAAATTTAATTAATGAGCATTTATCCAAACAAAATATAATAAAGAAAATCAATATATGAGAGTTTAGTTGAAGTTAATACAATAATTAGCTCTATCATTTTAATTAATATTAACCCAAAACTTAAAATATAAAGTTGATATTTTCTCGTAGCCAAATTCATTGAAATATTATTTAAATTGAAGAATTAAATATTGGGAAGCGGAACCTATCATATTCTTAAATTCGATAAATGCACAATATTGGAAATATTTTATGATATTATAAATTATAAGCAACTACAAAGTACGAAGCGTGCTATATCCTCCGGTCTTCTTCCGTCGCATCACGACTATAAATATCTCCTTTATTCACGTTTTTAGTTTTCTTTTCGAGTGTCTACAGAGATCAAACATCAAATTACTCTGCCTCTTCGTCGCCCAGTACCAGCGTTTTCGGTCTCCTCCCGCGTGTCATCGCATGCTATCCATTTCTTCTGTTCAGGTTTTCATTCGTTCTCTTACAACTCTTCCTCGGATTTTTGTTCTTCTTGCACTTGCATTGATCTCCATTTTCGTGCTTCTCAACTTACATTCACGCTTACTACGCGCGTCTTTGATATAACTTCCCGCTCTGATTTTATTTCAATACAGTTGAGCTTGTATTCTGCTATTTTTATGCCTTCTCAGTTCGATCACTTCCTGCATCAACATGGAATATCGCTTCGGAAGATAGTTCTCAGATCTGTTTGGTTAGCTTTAATCCGCGAGGAGAAGAAAACTGAAACAAGCGAGAGTCCGAGCTCAACTGTTCCTCTGTGCCTGCGGATTACCAGGTAATCTCGTTTCTATCGTATTCTTGTGAACCGAACGAAGTATCAGGATATGGAATCGCTTTATTGTAGAATTCACTTTGCGTCGTAAGTTGTCTGCACGCTTTTACGTACTTACTACGTTTTTCTTACTGAGAATCTGTGCTTGATCTAGTGCACGATATTTACAGTTTGTCTTTCCGTTTCACACTGCATCTGTTTGGATTAGTCTGAAGCGAACATAAAATTATGAGTGGAGGACTGATGCGGTCTGGCATTTATTTCACCTGTCTCTATGTGCGCGCGCGCGCGCTCGTATGTGTGTGACAATATTATACGACTTTTGTTTATTGATTTTTATTTTGTCATTTTTTGCTTTACTAATCAGATCATTTGTTATATTGAGATATTGACAAGGATGCTTGATTTTGTGCTTGTACGTAATCTTTAAACAAGAATTTCATAGTACTTGCATAATACGATAGTTGGAAATGGTAGAGCAGGATGTTTCATAGCTTCAAGTATTTGGTTCTTTTGATACCGTACCGGATTTAAGCTCTCAAAGTATTCGTGAGATGACCATTAGTTTTCCTTTATGTTTTTTAGGCATTAGAGATTCCATGGACAAGGTTATCTGTTTTTATATTTGCGCATCCGTAACTTGTTTGGTCGTGAACTTAGGCACCTGAAACTCTAGTTACTTGTTCATTACTTTAAAGGACTTCTGTTGCAACATTTTATATCTACATTTGTAAAATGTTTTTGGATGTTAACGAGATCATGATGATTTGCTTAGTCTCCCTCCCCTTTCTTCTACCATTTTCTGTTTGTTTGTGATTCTGGTTTGGTTTCTAAATAGAGGATTCTTTTTTTTTTTTTTTTTTTTTTTTTTTTTTTTAANTCCTCTTTCCCCCACCGACGTTGTGTTTCTTCTCTCCTGTTTATCAGCAATGCCGTTACAAACCCTAGATGCGTGTTTTCTTTCGTCTCTTATTGCATGGCTGTTTTGTTATTTTGGTATTCGTCGGCTTAGGAGGCTACTCTTTCTGATATTCGCGGTAGAATTTATTTTTTAAAAAATTTGTATTACGAGTTGAGGATGTATGAATTAGGGTGTTTTTTTTTTTTTTTTTTTTTTTTTTTTTGTTATCTTGAAATAAATGTAGAGATGATATTGGTGATAGATCACATAATTAGAAAGTCTCGTTTACCTAGTATGATTATTTGAGAACGTACTTCTGAGACATGCTAAGGCTTTTGTACGTTGAACGAAATCAAACTGACTTGTTTGTAATATATTAATTGTGGATAATATTTATTAATTAATAATGAGTTCAGATTTATGCTCCGTTGAATGCTATATTTGTCGCATTCATTAAAAGCATGATTGTAGGGTACTGTAAGTTTCGTAGTTAGTACTGATAACTTTATTTTGGTATGCTAACAGTCTTCTTTGCCATGAAAACTGCAGCTAATCAATTGAGTTAGTAGTTGTTAATCTCGACTCCTGAAGCATGGTAGCGATCTTGAATAAGCAATAGTTAGACACTATTTATTCTCTTATTCTGGTTAGAATCTCAGCTACTTTGCTTTGGCAAAAGCGTTGGAATCTCAAGACACGTCAGTTTACTTTTGCTCTCTTTTTTTTGAAGTTCTGTTTGCGATTATCTCTAGATGATAAACCTGCGTTTAGGAAACAATATTCAACATTCACTTGGTTGGTGTTGTATTGGAAAAGTCATCACGATCAGTTTATTCCTAGGAGAATGCTTTCTTGGGGTCCTGACATCAATACACTATTTATATATATAGTTGGAATTTTGGGATTAGAATTAAGACTGTAAGCTATGAGTGAGTTACTTATTTAGTGTTTTTATAATTGAGCTAAAAATTCATATACTTTGGTTTGGGCCAGTTAGCCTAGCCCAGGGCTTGCCTTTTCGTTACTTTTTCCCTATTTTGATCTATAAAATGTGTATGGTACAAATTGATAACACATGACATTAGTTGGTCAATTAGTAGTGGCATCGCCCAGAGACTTTCAGTCTGTTAAACTGACGTGATAACCAACCACACTATGACACCAAATGATACACAAATATTGTTCCGTATGAAGATACAATATAATAAAGACTGTAAGCCTGCTGCTATAAGAGTCCAAACCGACGGTGGAGTAAAAAGAAAGATGAAATTAGGGTTTTAAACCTTAGTTTCGTGGCCATCAATAAAGAAAAGATTGAAAACAAAGATATGTCTTTTACATTTCAAGAAAGACCACTTGTGCATATAGTGATCAAAATTTGAAATTTGTGAATCCGTTCTGTAGTAAATGATACCTACGTAGATTGTTCAAAAATGGATGATAGCCGTCGTTCCAGTCTAAGAGCATTCTCTCTGATGTAGAATAGGAATGTAAGAATGTGAGAACCATAAAGAGGCATGCTCATAAAGGTTTTTAGTTAGGATGGTAAACAGACATTGAATTAGAGTTATAAACGCCAATTATTATAGGTTTGGATTGAACAATATTTTGTTGGTGTAGCACCAGTGCACCACACCCCTATCTGTGGTGTTCCATCATGTGTGTGTTGACCATCGTTGAATTAAGCTTAGGATGAAGGTTCTTTGGGGTTTTTGTATTAAAAAATGTACATCACCCCACACCCAAGATGGTCCGCTCCTTTGTTTTGATTAAAATCACTATTATTTGTGCTAAAGCAATTTTCATCCTTATATCCTGATTGATGTAATTTTATTCCTGTTCGTGTTGTTACCTAGTTTCTTCCTTTTTAGCTTTCAAATATTCTTTTCCAAAGTCAGTGTCTTCTTTCTTTCTTTCTTTCTTTATTTTTTTATATTTTTATAGGAAACAAACATTTCATTGATAGATTGAAATAAACTACAAAGAGTCCTAACAAGAGGATTTACAAAAAAAAAAAATTCTTCCACTGTGCAATGAGGGAAGAAGGGGTGTAATTACAAAAGGGGGTTGTGTTTTTTACACCACAAAAGAGAAAAGCAAGTAGTATTCTGCATGGTTGTGTCGAAATTTGGGTGTTTTTCTGGGAAGACTCAAGGGTTGTGTTCTTTCCAAATACTCCAAAATAAAGCTCTGATGAAGTTTTTCCACAGGTTTTTTTTTTCCGTTTTGAATGGATGTCCTGTGAGAACGCGGAAAGGAAAGTGTGATTTTTGTTGGGGAAGGCAGTAAACCAATCGAAGGATGCAATCAGGATGCTCCAATAGTTGGCAGCCAAGGGGAAATTGTTGATCAATTGTTGATCAAGAGGACATAATTCTGGGAGATAGAGCCAAGGAAGCCTCCTTTGTAGGCAATCTTGACTTATGATGCATGAATGGCTGAGCTCTCGTATAAAAATTTTGATCTTCTTAGGATAAGCCCCTTTTCCAATATGAGAATCAATGCTATCACCTCCAGTGCAAGAAGAAGTCCATGTTTGAGAGAGGGACTTCGAAGAAAAAAAAATCTCCTGTTCAACGTTCCAAGGCCAGTAATCAGCATTCTGTGAGGAGGTAAATTGGGAAAGCAAGTTGGAGAGATTAACCCACTTTTCAATTTCAGCTTCTCCAAGATTGGGAAAAGGTTCCAGGATCGATTCTCAGAGGATCAACAAGTTCTTGCAGTCACCTGCATTCCATTATCTGTTAGTAACTCCTCCTATAGGCTTTTTATATCTAATAATCATAGGTGTTCATGCATGCCACGAATTTCAATGTTTTTTTTTTTTTTTTTTTTTTTTTTTTTTTTTTTTTTTTTTT